CACAGTTTGTAGAGCCCCAGTCTGGCCAGGTGGCTCAGTGGCAAAGCACGTGGCTCGCAATCGCAAGGACCATGAGATGAAATACAGGTTGGAGGTTTACTCAGTCCACCATCCCTTCAGGGTGGTTTAAATACACTAAACTAAACTTTTTATTTTACTAGATAAGGCACCACTGTGCTATATAGCTATTTTTTCATCAGCGACCTAACCACAAATGATAGTTCAACGAATTGGCGTATCACGTGGACATTTGTACCAGCCGAAATACTCGAAACGAATTTTTATTAATGTGGAGGGGAAAACCAGAAGACCCGGAGAAAAAATCCAATCGGCCACGGCGTCAGGGTCGGGATCGAACCCACGACCTCCTTGCATAACAGGCGAGGTAGTTAACATCTCCTAGCCACCGTGATGATAATGATGAGAGAGAGACACGCAAACTCCAAATACACAGCAGCAGGCGTCAGGGTCGGGATCGAACCCACGACCTCCTGCGTACCAGGCGAGATAGTTAACATTTCGCCAAATAAGTACAGCTTTGTGGGGAAGTGGTTGTCCTAGTATGCGTAGCCTCACCCCCCCACCATAGAAATGAGGAATTTCCACCACTGGCTCAGGGACTGTAAACATGAGATGAGCACCGTATCATTGCTCACTTGATCAGCAGCAGGAGATCACTTTGACCGAAGCACGATGGGCGGTAGTTGGAACCCGTGCTGGGATTTGAACTCGGGACTCTCCGGGTGTGAGTCGAATGCTCCAAGCCACAGTGCCATGGAGGGAATCTCGTGTGTGCGTGCGCGTGCATAATAAACGTGTGTTGTATGCAGCGCATTGCTGTTGCACTGATCACGCCTCTGCCACCAGGGTGCATCTGTGGCTTAGGTCTGGCTCCGCGGCCCTTCGCCTTATCTCCCCCCTCCTTCCGCCGTCCTCCTATGTGGACCCAGCATATCTTCAAATCACCATCACATCCCGTGCACCCCACCCCCCAATACCTCCCTCCCCACTCTTTCCCAACACCTTCCACCCCCTCCACCACCATCCATTCATGTCCCCCCCCCAACACACACAGCCCCCCCCCCCATCACCCTCATGCTCTAGATGGTTTACCAGCCACACCATTCAGACTCATTCTCATGGCCCAATGAGAAGCAAAGCACAGAGCCGGCTACACAAACTCTGGCTTTCAGAACCTGTCTCGGGACACAACGTCGAAGCAGGCTGCTGCTGCTGCTGCCGCTGTCAGCGACAAACAGTGGGACACGACGAGAGGGCAAGAGTGTGTGTGTCCCCCCCCCCCCTTCCGGATGCCACCTCTTGCGTCCCATCTATCTTAAGCTGCTGTCGATGTAGTCGTGCGTTAACAGCGAGAGTGCGATTATCTCTCCGCAGAATGAGACCCGCAGAGCACTATTGCTGCGTTGAAGCACGCGCCTAGGTAGCTATCTTGCCCTGCGCGATTCCGGAACGTGGCGACGGCGTTTGTTTAACCGCCTCCCACCTGCCCCCCCCCACCCCCCACTCTCTGCTCTTACATGCGTACACGGTAGATGTACACACACGGGCAGTTGTACTCCAGACACTTCAAATGCTGCTTCTGCTTCATTTCGCAATGGGAGTACTGATATGCGGTGAGTAATCAATTATGCTTCTGTATGCAGACACACGGGCACACGTGCACACGTGGACTATTCAGGCGCGCACAAAATCACATGCATGTATGTACGCGCGCACACGTAGCATTTTGTACGTAAGCGACTGTCAGAAAGTTTTGAGAACAAGACCTCGCTAAAAGTGTCACGTTGACGTAATATAGCTCACTTTCTAAAGCTACTTTAATGCCATTATGTTGGTCTGCAGAACTATATTCAACAAGAGATGGCAGTCGTGAAGAATGATAATGGTAGTGTGTGTTATCTTAATTACATCCTATTTTCAACACTGTTTTATCGCCCCTTGTGTATAATAATTATGCGCAATAAACACATGACTATCTTAGGTTCAATATTTGTGTATTTGAAATATCTAGCTTAGCATACTGTGCTTTAATATTACCATTTTTACGCGAATGTCTTATTTGTTCAATGTGATTGCGCGTTACAGAATCCGTGTTAAAGCGTAACCGTTCGCGTGCGTTTCGGTAATAACTTGTGCACGCAATCATCCACTTCGCTTCTGGCTCCACAAGATAATAACAAAAACAGTGTGAAATGATCCGTAATTGTGTTAGGCCACGAAGTAGCGTCTACGCCAACATTGTCATTAACTTTCGGTCAATCGACAAGATTTGTCACGGTTTACAAGGGTAGTATTTATACGCGCCACGTGTATTGTGAAATATTGTTCCAAATTAAACCAAATGTTTCTTTTTTATTGAAATACTTGCGATCGGAAATGGTTCAGTAGAGGTAAATTAACCGGTGGTGATTGTGTAGACATTTATTGGACATGCCTGCCTAATAAACACCATGCGAGTAATTGGTGCTTGCCAGATCGTCGAAAGTTCTTCGTGGCTTACCAAGTCAGGGTAAGAGCTGTTAATCTACTTGTTAATCTTCATGTAAATTAAAGTGGGCGCTGTTCCATTCGTATATCTGTCAACCCCTTATCAGTGCCTACATTATTACAAACCAATTCAGACCTTATTGGTCACCCCGTGCCCCTTATAAATCTCAACGTTCATCCTACAGCCCCATCACAAGGGAGAAACAAAATTTTTTTATACAAATTGTGTTTTTTTTGCCCGTATTGAAACGGCTGTACGCCGTATGGACCTGAAAACTCAAATTCCTACAAGAATACGGGTAAACCGTATGGGTTAGGTGCTCCGGGTCTAATTTCTTTAGATTATTATAATTATGCATAATGACAAAGTGGTGATTGACGAAGGGCTGCTCAAGTATCATTTTTTAATTAAAAGCCATTACGTAATACACGTGTGTATGTCAGTGTTAATGGGGCTATATAATTTGTGCTATACGTATTGAAGAGTTTGGCTTCATACCTCATAAATATCAATAGTGTTTATATAGTGCACATTCATATTAAATGTTTGTTCAATTATATACAGGAAATCTATACAAGGGGATATAGCACTGAGCAAATGCACATGCAATTAAATAGAATAACATTGTAAGAACAATAAGAAATGCCAGTGGTATCAGGACATCATTGTATAATAGAAGCGCATGTTCGCTTTCCGCTCCCATTGTTCACGAAAATTGCAACGGTTGTGTCAATCGAGGTGTTTGCAGCTAATTTTAATTGCGGTAATTATCCACGCATTCATTAAAATGTCGCCGTTACCACGCGAAGCGTGTTAAAAGCGACTTTTACCCCACAGTAACATCGACTTCGCGGTTCCATTTATAAAAAAATAATTGATTATGCGCGGTAATACGTCATTGTACGCTGGGTATATAGAACGATGCAGAGCATTCCATTCACGGTAAAAAGGGATGTTAACCAGTTATGGACCAGCATGCATTGCATATAGGGTATTTTACAAAGAAACAATAGTCATGGAACAATGGGAGGCGATGCACGGGTTGTCGGGCTTTATCGTGCATTTTCCAAACACTCTGGGCACACTGTCATGACACTGTCAGAATTGGCTGTCATCGATGTGGCGTCACTGTACTGAATGGAATACGATAATTGATACGATAAGCACACAATAAACTTAGCCACCTGTGCATTTACAGCCAGAAGGTCTATCGCTCTGGCCAACGGGGCTCGGCTACACAACAATGCACAGAGATACTGAAATGGACACTTTCATAAAGATCGGTGGGGGTATTATTAGGTCGACAGTGTCTCGGGCACTACACTGGGAGGCACATCATGACCGTATGCGTCCTGGTGATACAGCTGCTGCTCCTGCTCTGTGTATAGTGATTCATATTCGTTTATTCACAACCCATATGCTCAAGTGATCCTGGTTCACCTTCAGTAACTGCCCGTGGTATAATAATACTCTGGTCGATATTGCCTTTGTGTCCCTCCATCGGAGATCTTAAATTGTTTAGCAAAGTTGTTATGCCCGACTTTCATTTCGTTAATATTCATCTGTCATCAGCAAATCCGAGATAATGAATGTTCTCAATCCATATTTACTGCAGTCACGAAAGCTTCAAATCAAGATTAATGGCTCCAGTTCAGTACCTTAATATATTACGAAAAAAACAATAGTGTATATTATTTTTTAAAGTGTTTATTGGCATTATTTGTGTGTACGCATGTCCATGTAATAATAGTTATCCTATCCATATACTTTTTCCTGCTACATTAAAGTGGAATTTCCACCTGGGCTCAGGTCTGAACACAGAAAGGAGCAACGGCCCAGTTTTAAGTTTCGCGTAAAGACACTCACCAACATTGAACTCGTACACATCATACAAAATAACCGCACGTAAGATTAGTATAATCAAACTCAACCGAATCGTTATAAGATATAGTGCTCTTATTTCACGCGGAGAACTTTTTTTTCCCTCCCGTGTCACTTTTATTCGAACAGAACTCCGCGTTCAACACCAAGTAACTCCGTCGCAACTCGCCCGCCTGCTCGCCTGCCTCGCTCTCTCCCTGCCTCTCCACCGCTAGCCTGCCTCTCCCTCTCACCCCGTTAGCCTCTCCGCCGCTAGCCTGCCTCTCCCTCTCACCCCGTTAGCCTCTCCACCGCTAGCCTGCCTCTCCCTCTCACCCCGTTAGCCTCTCCACCGCTAGCCTGCCTCTCCCTCTCACCCCGTTAGCCTCTCCGCCGCTAGCCTGCCTCTCCCTCTCACCCCGTTAGCCTCTCCGCCGCTAGCCTGTCTCTCCCTCTCACCCCGTTAGCCTCTCCGCCGCTAGCCTGCCTCTCCCTCTCACCCCGTTAGCCTCTCCGCCGCTAGCTTGCCTCTCCCTCTCACCCCGTTAGCCTCTCCGCCGCTAGCTTGCCTCTCCCTCTCACCCCGTTAGCCTCTCCACCGCTAGCCTGCCTCTCCCTCTCACCCCGTTAGCCTCTCCACCGCTAGCCTGCCTCTCCCTCTCACCCAGTTAGCCTCTCCACCGCTAGCCTGCCTCTCCCTCTCACCCCGTTAGCCTCTCCACCGCTAGCCTGCCTCTCCCTCTCACCCCGTTAGCCTCTCCACCGCTAGCCTGCCTCTCCCTCTCACCCCGTTAGCCTCTCCGCTGCTAGCCTATCTGCCACGCTCCGTTCGCTCTGCTCTCTCTCTCACTACACACTGGTAGCTTCCCACCGTGCACTCTGCTATCTTCTCTACTGCTAGCCTCTCGCTATGTACACTGCTAGCTTCTCCACTGCCAGCCTTCCGCTATATACTCTGAGAGCTTCTCTACTGCTAGTCTTCGCGCACTCACACTTAGGATTCCGATAGCCTCTCTACTGCTAGCCTTTATACCCTTGCCTCCAGTGGGTGTTTCGGCCATCGACGGCTGGAGAGGATGGGGTGTGGAGAGCGGGGGCCCTGGACTTCTCTTGCGTATTGCGCTTCTCTTTGCTCCAACCAACAACTTCCCCCCCCCCCGTCCCTGGCCTCACACCTTCCGTATTTATCATGCTCCTCATTAAAGGCCCTAATTAAGCTGGCGTCCTCCAGTCGCCCCTCGCACGTGGCGTCCGCTGCTATCGCCTCAATCTGCAGACTCCGATGCGCCTACACCGTGTCTGCATTTGCAGCCGGTCAGTCACCGCTGCGCGTCTGACTTAATTGGTCGTCTCTCTCTCTCTCTGGATTGCCCTCACACCGCAGCTGTTTATCCTGGCGTGAATTCACTGTCCGCGGCTCACACGTGCATGCACACCGCTTGCAAAACCCCACGCGCGTTACTCCTCTGCAGATATATTTAAAACAAAAAAAACATGACATTTAAACAAACATTGTTTGTCTTATACATGCTGAAGCGATGCACCGTATTAAAAAAAAAACGTCATCACTTCGAGAACGTTAACATGAACGTACAGATCCTAAACTCCCGTCGATTTAGATTTTTTTTTTATAAAAAAAAATCCAAAAAGCAAACAGCGTATATTTATGAAACAAAATCCTCTGAAAGCGGAGTTTTGTGCACGTCGGGGAGAGACGGTGAATAAACTGACGCGCGCTGTCGCACAAAAGAGCCCGACACAAAAGAAGTGAATCTTACGTCCTTATTATCGACACCAACGCTCTCTCGAAGTGCCAGAGGATCTCATGGATTTTGAGCGATTTGACCGCAGCCGCTGCACCTGAGGCCCGCGCGCGCGCGCGCTTGCTCGCTCGCTCTCTCTCTCTTCGTAAGGAGGCTTCAAAGGGCGTCGTGGGGAAGTGATTCGTGGGCGTACAGGTGTGGAGCACGTAACCGCGAGTTATACGCAGCGTCTTCTGTTACGACTGCAGCGTGATTGCAAAGAAGGTCTGACGCGAGCGTGAAAATTGACATCTGTGCAGTTCACGAGGAGCACGCGAATGACAAGGTCAGATGTAAATCTTAAGCATTTATTTCACCGTGACGTGAATGTTATACGCCTGCTCCGCAATGGTTAATGGGTATTGCAAAAGGGATCTGTGCACGCAATAATACATATTCAATGTGTGCTCCAGGTATAATTTAAATATTACATATTCCCGCACGTATAAATAATGTTTATCCAATTTATTTGATGCGTTGACTTTACATTTGCTGCGTTATTATTTCATAAATATTACTTTATTTCCTTTCTTACGTAAACGCTCTTATTTTTAAAGCTGGAATAAAAGGTGGTTTCCATAGTGGTTTATACAAACGTTTGAAAGGTAATTTTCATCATTTACATATTTGTCGGTATTTTCATAGTAAAAATTATCACAGCAGAAGCAGTTGTAATATGTGTGTATTATTTAATTATTATATACATGTTTAGCGTGTTTCAGTAGTTTGACGGTCATCATAAGTAATGGATATTTGAGAGCAGAGAATGTACAAAAGATGAATATCTATTTATAATGTTATTACATTTGGTGCTTGCGCTAATATTATACGCACGTACAAAAATGTTCCTGTATTTTCCTAGGCCACTCGAAAAATAGGTTGGCCTCCCAGTGGATGTTCAGTACATCAGAACAAAGTGCATTAATTCATGTATGTATATATGCTATGTTTCATGCTGTTATGGATGTATTTTTTTAACACCTATAGTCTTTCTCACACTTTCACCAGTAATCGTCATCTTTAGCCAATTTATATATTTCTAAAGTTAATAAAGAAGTCCCTTAAATAAATGTTCTTGGTTCTTTCGGTAAAGTCACGTTGAAGGGAAACAATAAAATAATACAATTGTATTGTTTTATATATATTTTATTATTTTATTGTTTCCCTTCAACGTGACTTTACCGAAAGAACCAAGAATATGAATCACTGCAGTCACGAAAGCTTTAAATCAAAATTTAAAACAAACATGCTTTTGTTTATTCTTTAATCATTGAATGCATAATAATATAATTTAGCATTACTGTTCTAGTGGTCAAAATGCAGTCATTATCTAACAGTTGTTAGGTTCAGTTTGCATCCATACAGCCACAATTCCATTGATAGCCCTATTTAGACACTTAAAATCCATTTCCTCTTACAAAAAAGTCACCCAAATTGCATCAGGCAATTTTCATCTTTTTCACACAATCTTTACAACAATAATTGTGTAGAAATGAAAGTATTCGGCAGTGCTCTCCCCTCTTTTATGATACCTTGTTGACTCCACGGCTGGGTGAATGGTGCCCAGGTTGTCGCGAGAGTGATCATGGGAAGCCCATTGTGACGGCTGTAATCACCGGCCCGCACTTACACCACCTCGCAACGCACGACCTCGATAACCGGGGAGCACTATAGGACAAGTTGTTTGTGCGTACGTAGAATGATCGGTGATCGCCGCGGCGCTCTTCCAGTTGCTGGCCAAGTGAAATGCAGCGCACAGTGTGGCGCAGAGCTGCAAGTCAATGCATTCATGTATGGCCCCATTTGCTGGTTAGAGATTCGAACCAACGCGCACACCCTGTACTTACAACCAATATGAACATCTCAAGTGATACAATATACAATATATTATGCAGAGCAATGGACAAGAAAGTGACGTTAAAAGCTTCCCGGTATAACACTTCGAACCAGTAATAAAAAAATAAATTAGATTATATTCGGAGAGCCGCAAAAATGAATGCTTTGGGGGGTATTTTTCAATGAGTACCTGCACTCATACGGTGTGAATGCTATCAAACGACGCGAATAATGAGTGATGAATCTTGCAGTGTATGAACCTGACTCTTAAATAGAACAACACAATGAACGTACCCATTTGTTGCTGCTTAGTCTAAGCTCCTCTACCTTATAACAATATGATACGCTGGATCGACTCTTTGTAGTATAGTAATGCATTACTGTGAACATGTAAATACAGATGTGGAATATAGACGCACGATGGCAGTGTATATGAATTCAATAGAAAATGCAACGCATCTAAAATATTAAAGATATACAATGTTAACATTGTGGTCGAGCACTCGACTCGCAATTGGAGGGTTGCTCGTTCAGATTTCCAATCAGTGGTCGACACATCATCCCTTTTGGGTCGATAAAATGAGTGCCACTTTTGTAGGAAATCAAGTGTCTGCTCTGTGGAAATCGTGGCCTCCGCCATAGGACTATGGAATTATAACCACTGGCTCAGAGCTACCATTTAAAATAGGCAGGGAAAAAAACACCTTCACTTTTTTTAAAATTAGACAATACTGTCCTTTGTGTACTTTTGTGTACCTAGGAAACATCAGCGAGTCTCAAGATATTCACCAGAATCTCTCTCAGAGTCATCCACAGAGGGAACTTTTAGCCTCATTAAGTCTGCACCCTCATCCATTACTGCGGGGACTTCAAAAATATCCGGACAATTATTTTTGCATAGGGAAGGTCAGTGTGTGCCAACATCAGAGCCAAGCTTGTGTGGAAATTTAGCTGTGTTTGCTAGATGGGTCCTTTCAGTAAAGTGAGGATCCAGCTGGAAAATGTGGCTCAACTTGCAATAGGAAAAATCACGAGTTCGAATCCCATTTGGGAGACAACTTAGCCGATCATCTCACCAGGGTCAATAAAAAAAACGACTAAGACTTTATAGGAAAGTCAACAGTGGTTGTGCTAAGAGATCAATATGAGTTCATGCTCAAATGACCATTGAGGTGATGCTCATCTCCTGTTTACAGCCCTGAGACAATGGTGTATATTCTACATTCCTATGACAGGGACGTGTTTATCCACCGGACAATGACTCTTGACCTCTCCACGAAGAGGCACTTATTTTAATCACCCGCAAGGGATGATGGGCTCAGTCAACCCCCAACCAATGCGGATTTGAACTATTGCAGCATTCTGATTGCGAGTCCCTTACTCTACTTCTGGGCCACTAGGCCGCCTAACGAACAACACGGGAATTTTTCATTTGAATCACCACTGGCTCAGTACCAACAGGAATGCACCTGATCGCTTTATTATCTCGGGAGCTAAGCAGGTTTGAGCCTGGGTAGCACTCGGATGAGTGCCCACCGTGTGCGAGGCACAGGCTTAATAAGCATTGTGAGCAGTGGTGGGTCGAGCAGACAAAATCAGTTTCACCCCTTCTACCTTCACCGACTCAAACGGGTGATGTATCGTCGAATACCCGACACGGCCGACAAGGCGTGGGGAGGCCCTCATCCAACTGTCTATTGACAAACACGGGCTGTACATGTACACGCACTGGGGTGTCCCAGTGGCGAGATGTTAACTGCTTCGCCTGGTATACAGGAGTTCGTGGGTTCGACCCCAGCACCTGTTTATTTGGAGTTTTTGTGTTCTCCCCGTGATTGTGTGGATTTTTATCCAGGTTCTCCGTTTTTTTCCCCTTCACATTTATAAACGTGCGTTTAGAGTATCTGGCTGCTATAAATGTCCACGTGATACGCTACTTCATTGGGCAATGATTTGTGATACTCAGGCCGCTTTTGAAAAAGAGCGATATGGTTCAGTGGGCCTTACATGCCAAAAAAAATAGTCTATATTTTTGTTAGTTTACTGGCTGTGGGCCTGCAACAACGATGAGCGCCACCCCTCAAGTGATTGCGCAGGGAGACACCTTTGACTTTATTTGTGTAAAGTGAGCCACCGGGTATTCTGGAAAAGGAGCAACATTTAGCTCAACAGTGCTTCTCTGTATGCGAAATAATAAAATAAGTTACCACACTGCCCACACTCTTGTGGATCAATCACACAGGCTGGGCTTCCAGGTGTAACATTTCAGAAGCTTCACGAATTATATTTTTCCTTCAGCATTCATGTGGACCAAATTATTGGCGAGACACCGTGTTTATAATGTCAGTGCTCAGCGTCAATTAAAAGAGCACTATGCTTGATATTTATGCTTCCATTGGTGTTCCATTAAGTGTGTGTGATTTTAAATGGCCCTCGGCCATATATTGTTACACTAATGCACGCACGGGCCTTACACTCAATTGGCAATGCACAATAGTTTATGTATATGGAGTTGTGTGCATGCTTTGCTTCCACTTAATTTAGAAATTTCCACGCATGCCTAAGTTGCTGGTGTGGTCAGGTCTAATACAGCACAGACATAAAGTAAACGAACATGCAATTTCCTTCTTTTATGTTCAAATCACACGTGCTTTCTTTGTATGAAATAAACCTGTCAGATATGGAGCAAGTATTGGGAATTTTATAGCCATGGTATTTAAAAAAAGTGAGTAAGGAAATTGTGTCAGTAATACGCTGCATTATATGAATATCAGAATGTCCACCATCTGATGTGAAACAGAAACCTTTGAAAGTAAGGAATCCGTTTATGGAAAATGAATTAAAATCAACTGTTTAAGGTCTGTTTTCATGTAATTTAGTAGAAGTGCCTTCACATAGTTACGGTGCGTTTCGAACACAATGGGTAAAATTACACACATTTTTAAAGCATAAAGTATCAATCATGCAAGTGCACAATATATTTTGTACATTACATTTTTTTTAAACTATCATGACCATATGGCAGGTTTTTTTGGCATTTACAGATGAATGCAATGAGTGGCCATTACATTAAAGAAAATATATACCATGTTCTGAAATTTATTTTAAAATGTTTATGAATGAGGTTACTGTAAGCCATTTACCCACGTTAAGAATTTGAGATGCCAATTCTGAGATCTATAGTGGAGGATTATTCTCGAATCGAGAGTTTTATGACGTCAACACATTAAGCGACGATTTACAAGACCGTATCGTAAATTCTGATTAGATTTTTTTATCTGTCCATCGTCATCTCGGAGGTAATAAATAACGACATCACAAAAGTGCATATTCTCCTGCATATATGAAGTCGCCCTTTAAGTGGTGGTAAGGTGTTTGATAAATCTAAGATATCAACTGCCAGGTGTGGAGAAATATTCTCATAAGTTTAATGGCATGTACACATTGATA